GTATGATTGATCAAAAAAATGGCGTATCTGTCCCTTTAACAATAAAAATAGTCTAAATGTAAGGAATATTTTCCATTCATAGAATATGTTATCTTTTTTTCGAAATTTAATGTTGTAATTATAAGGACAAAAAGAGCACATGTTAACATGATGTTATAATATTGAATATGGGTCTCCATATTGACAACAGATTCTATCATATGTTCACATGATACAGTGTTTACCCAAGTTTCTAGAAAATCAAATCAAACTGAACAAAACACTAGATATATCTTGAAAAAAAGTATGACCAATTTGAACATGTGACTGTTGTAGTTGAACATCACTTCATTCTAGACCTGTCAATCTTACATTACGCCAGCAAGAGTTCTTTCCAAATCCATTTCTCCCCCCAAAATAAATCAGTCATTTTGAAATGCATTTCACTCAATATATGCATTCAACGATTAATCATAAATAGATATAAAATCATACTCCACATATCGAGACCATTAAATTTGGACCTTGATTTTCTGTTTTTTTTGTATGTCAAATATGAAATGACGTCAATTTCAGTTGCTCAGTCATCTTCAACCAACCATCTTTGCGCATCATTAACGCTGCAGAACTAGGAAATGGCAACAGTACATTTCTCCCCGTTCTCGCACCCCTGGGTAATAATTCCTCCCTATGGTCTTCCAATTCCTGCAGAGGAATTCCTCGCCTGTTAAGAAGCACTGAATCAGCCTTTCAGCTGCTAGAGTTGATATCGGTTATAGTGACTTCTACAGTTCAAACACTTCAACCACATGTACCTACCTCTAGTGAAATATCCAACATAACTCCATCTTTAGCATTAACTCGACACACGTGTGATTGATTCTGTTCACCATAACATAACCATATCTCACCTGTTGAAATAAACATAGACAGTTCTAGGTACAATATCATTCATATTATATTCATGAAAGTTAAACTAAATTGATAAACTGACTATTTATCATATAGTATTAAATGATGTAAGAAAACTGTACAAAACTAATATTCAACATTGACATATTATAAAAACAAACCCAAATATTGTAACAATACCTTACAGCCTTAAAGGGACTGTAAAAAGGTTTTCTAAATTTGTTATGTGTATCAGGACACTGAGCTGAATCAATTTTCACCATTCCAATTTTCAATCAGACGTCTGTGGTTGGTTCCTGAAATTCCACTAACACTAAGTGTTTAATGATGTCACTAATCGCGAAATATTCTTTATCACACACGGCCCTTCGTGATTAGTGACAGCATCAAATACTTATGTTTTAGTGGAATTTCAGGAACCAACCACAGGCATCTGTTAGAAAATTCGGATGGTGCAAATTGATGCTATCAGTGTCCCTGTTACTAATAAAAAAAATTTAAAAACTACAAAGTAAACCAGAGCAACTGTGAAGTTGTGAGTTTTTATCACTTCATGTGAAGATTATTTATATAGGTGATTAAAAACATAGACCTTGAAATGATTGTAAATAATCTTATCTGTAACGTAATAGTAAATATTCTAATATCTTATAATTATTTGTTTACAATTAAATTATTTTAGGCTATTACATTCTCTTTGTTTCTAATGTATAGCTGATTATCTTGGCCATTTCCTTTATCCCTTTTAATAACGCCATAAATCTTAGACATGTATTTGTGATGATTTTAGAGACATATATTGATATCTTTATACTTTATAAATTACTGATTAATGATCAATGATAGCTTCTCGAGCAAAAAGAAAATAAAAATACATATTAGATGTATGATCCAAAAAAAATCATTGCGATTTCCCTCCATGAATTTATAAAAAATAAATTGTTCTTTTATTCGACAATTGAGCTAATAGCAAGTTGGATTTACATTTGCTAATCAAGTAGTTGCAAGAATTTGAATTTTCTCTCCGAATAAATTTTTCCACTTTTTTGAATCATTTACATTAATTATTTCCCCTTAAAACATCTTAGCCTATTTCATGATTTCAAATTAGGAAACCAGCTCAAAATAATAAGAATCCTATTTTGAAAGAATAACCATAATTTGAATTTGATTTATTTGACACCTGACAGGCAATATCAATTAACACCTACCTCATTAATAACTTTAATTACCCTAAACTCATTAAATTTATAATATTTATCACTATATTTTCTCCTATATTAAAAACAACTTATTTCTCAAATTCGACAAATTTGATGACGTCACAAATCGCAAAATAATCGTCACATAAAGCCCTTTGTAATAAGGAACGTCAACAAACACAAAATTTTAGTGGAACCACAAACATTTGATTGAAATTTGGTGCAAATTCATGCTATTCCAAATACATATATAAAATTTAAGAAACTCTTTACAATCCCTTTAAGGGGATGCATTTTGTTTTCTATTTTAAAACTTTATTTCTAATGGTATTATGTAATGTTATATAAGAGAAAACAATGAATTTCTTAACAACCATCACATAAATCAAACTTTTAACAAAGTAAATTACTAGGTTACACACTTTATTGTCTTCAGGGTGAAGAAAGGTTGAGATGGTGAAGTGTACACTACCCTAAGGGTTTTCAAAATAAATAAACCAAATTCTGTAAAGCAAAATTTAATTCAAACCTAAATTTTGTGTTTGTAAAGACAAACAATTGCCTTGAAAATCACAATTAACGCTTTAGTTAAATTTTAATTTTTCTAGAGTTATTTTCAGACCAAGCTCATTTTGTCTCAAAAAACGACAAAAAAGTGAAATAGTCTTAAAGTAGTAATAAGATGTGAATGTCCAAGTGGAGAATGTTCCCAAGGATAAATTATGATGAAAATCACTGATTACTGACCTGAAGGACTGGCTGTACAACATTCAAAAGTCAAGAAACTGCCAGCTTCTGCCTCAAGGGCCATAAACTGAAAAAAACAAAAAAAAATATATACACCATCATTCTTTTTTCTGTTAAAAAAAACAACTTAGGAGGAACTTGTAAAGGGAGGAAACCACTGAAAATGTAAATATAATTAAACTAAATTACAATTTCATATCTTTATGGTTTTCTGATACATACATTGTAATCTAACGTGTTTTCTACCAAAAGCTTGTCTTAATGATAGTATTTTAAACCAATCAAAGTCTGTCATGAATCTCGATTGCTCTACTATAGGTTCTGATATTCCATAATTACTCATTTACTCAAGATTTGGGTTTTAAATGACACACTTTGATTGGTTAATAATTACATCATTGGGACAAGAATTTGGTTGAAATTTATTTAGATTTATTTACAATAAAGATAAAAATATCAAATATAAAAAAGATAGTAAATTGTAAATTACATGTAAAACCAGACATCAAAATTTCTAATTAAGTCAAAAATCTGAAAGATTTGATCAGATGGTAATGTAGATACACTAATAATCCCTGATATAATACATTAACAATATTCCCATACTTTTCTCTTATTATCTTCTATAACATTCTTATTTCTCTTCAATCTCTGTATAAGATTATGAATAAATTTGAGAAAGCTGGTCATTGTAAACTCAGTTAAGTTAGATAACTGTTAAAATGTCACAGAACTGTGTATGGCTTTGAAGATTTTATAGATCCACATTTGTAGTAAACTGTGTCACACCAACACATTGCATTAAAGATTGCCCTTTATCTTTATTTAGCCTTCTTTGTTAGATCACTTATAGAGCATTCAAAACTTCTCATTTCAAATGAGCAGCTGATTTTTTGAATGTCTATTAGAATTTTCTTCAAAATTCACAACTAATCCAATTTTCAGGAAGTAAATTAAAGCATGTTTATCCAACACATTCAGACAAAGATGACCTTGAAGCGTACAAACATCACCAGATATATGTATATGTTAGTCAGGAACTGATAAAAGTCAACTGGTAATCAAATCTCATTTAGATTGTTACATCACACTATCTTACAATTGTCATATCAGTCTGTGAAACTGACCCTTTATTAATCACCTGTCAATCACAGATTTTAACCAATCAGTGATCAGTATTTAGTCCCCTAAAGGTGTCACTAATTCTATTCTCATAAGTGATTTTTTGCAGACAATAATCCCTTCATTAGATTTAAATTACCATCAATATTGATATTAAGTTCAGTTTGTTGTTGTTGTTTATCAATGGAGTTAGGATTTAAACAATTTGAAAGTTTCAATTTTGATTTATCAGGTGATGACAGAGTTCAATAATAAAATTGATATATTCAAACATTTCATTTACACAAAATGTGTTAATTTATGGATTTGTAAAGAGGTTTTATAAAATTTTTTTGTGTATCATGGACACTGATAGCATCAATTTGCACCATTTCAATATTTGATCAGACATCTGTGGTTTTTGTAATTCCACTAAAACTAAATGTTTGATGACGTTACTAATCGCGAAGGGCCTTATGTGATAAAGCATATTTTACTAGTGGCGTCATCAAACACTTAGTTTTAGTGAACTGCAGGAACCGCAGATCACTTTTCAAAATGCATGGTACAAAAGTGTCCCTGATACACATACAAAATAGATAACCGCTTTATCCCTTTAATCACATTTTCATAATCTGCTGTTACTAGGTAGGGAATAATGCCTTTGAGTGTTGTGGATAGATTTCATCCAATTCTATCCAAGATGTTATTCTATCAAATGATGAAATTATAAGTGTGACTTTCATGATTTTATTACAATATTAAAGATGGGTTTCCTTATTTTTTAGTTAAGAAAACTATTTGATAAATTGATGTTCTAATTATTTATCATGTATTCTTAATCATATCATTATGTTCTTATTGCATATAATTAACCAATGATAAATTTTAATGTCCATGTAGTCTGGATAGACAAAAAAAAAGACTTTTTGACCTTTCTTGATCGGTCACTCATTGGAATAAGCTGGTAATTCTTATCTAATTTAGCTAATTATGAATTAATTATGGACATGTGAGACAAACTGGTATTTTTCCAAGTCATTAGAACACCTCTACTTTCTATTCATAAAAGTCATAAATGAAAATAATGGAACCCATCTTTAACTGTGCATTCAAACTCACCATTTGTTCACGTTCAGCAAAAGCCATCTTCTGTAATTCTCTTCTCTTATACTTCTCTTTTAATGAAGTCAAATAAAATGCTTGTTTACTTTTAATGGCCTGGCGATGAGGAAAGGGCCTTAAATCTTCAAATGCAATCTGGAATGTAACAAAAAATGGTGTTACAAAGGCTATACATTATTGTAATTATAGAATCAAACTTATATTTAAAAGTGGAACAAGAGTTGTACTAGAATAGATCTCCTATCTTTAAGTGGGACAAGTTTGTACTTCTAGAATATAACTCCTATTTAAAAGTGGGACAAGTTTGTACTTCTAGAATAGAACTCCTATTTGAAAGTGGGACAAGTTTGTACTTCTAGAATAGAACTCCTATTTGAAAGTGGTACAAGTTTGTACTTCTAGAATAGAACTCCTATCTGAAAGTTGGGTTTTTCGAATTTGTACTTCTACAATAAATTTGTACTATCTGAGGAGTTTGTAGAAGTTTGTATGTTGTACAAGGTTGTACTTCTAGAAGAGAACTCCTATTTGAAAGTACTTCTAGAATAGAACTCCTATTTGAAAGTACTCCTAGAATAGAACTCCTATTTGAAAGTGGGACAAAGTTTGTATGTTGTACAAGTTTGTACTTCTAGAATACAAGTCCTATTTAAAAGTGGAATAAAGGTTGTATGTAGTTGTACTTCTAGAATAGAACTCCTATTTGAAAGTTGTACAAAAGAGGGACAAGATTGTAATGGTACTTCTAGTTTAGAATGATATAAATTTTGTAGGGCCCACGTTTTTCTGATAATGAAACAAGATGGTATTGTCAAATAGAATGTATTTACTTACCTTAATCAAACCTTCAATATCATAAGTTATTTTAGCACAAGATTTCAGATGTCTCATTACACTAATAGTATCATTCTTCATTAGAATCTCTCTTTCATTCATCTTTAATATAGCTAGACAGAATCGGAATAAAACCTTTGGTCCTTCCATCAGAAAACAATCCCATATTCTTAACAATGTCTGTAATAAAGATAAAAATCAATTTAAGAGACAGGTTTGTCATTTTTTGAGGGGTTGATTTTAGTCTTGAATATATTTAAATAGTCTTATGAAGTACTAGAAATGTACGAAAGTTGCATAATTCCTTTAAAAATACCTCAAACTAGAAATTTTACTTTCTATTTCTATATATGACAGATTCTCAAGAAAAGATGAGTTGTCATTTTAACATTCAAACACTGATAATACTGGACAAACATGGATTTGAAGGTTAAAATTTTAACAATGAACAGTGAACATTATTTCTGATTAGCTTAGCTAAAATATTCCCGTTTCTGATACACGTTCAAATAAACATGGATTTTTTAATGTGTATGGACCACTGGGATACTCTTGTCAGCTGACAGAGCTTACTTAGTCATCCGAATTGCTGTTTTTGATAGGCATTTTACTGTTTAATCCTTGAAATAGGATCTGAATTCAAAAGGATGCCTCTAATACTATTTTATCATATTAGAGAGATGTTTATTTATAGGCATCTTTTGACCTCACCATTTCCGTTGATAGGTAATCTTCAATCTAATCTTATAATATATATAAACAGTTGATATGTTAATATTATTATTGTGTATGATGTTGATAGGCTAACAGCAATATTTGTAGGTCACTTATAACAAGACAAAAGTATTTTATGTAAAAAAAAAAGATATTGACTGAAGCCAGGACCAGGGCTGTTGATTTGGCTCTATATGCCGGACATGACTGACGGGGCTGTTCAAATGACCAACGGTCAATATCCTCTATCGGACATCAAGTATAAGTTAGCCAATACATGGCTTTCAATGTCTGTCAAATGCAAAATGTAATGACAACTCTCCTTTTGTCCGCTACCTGCAGGCCTATTACACAATATTCCAAGTACATATATATGTAATAAATTAACCATTGCTAAAGACACAATCCAGCCAATGAATATCCAGCAAAATTTTTTCTGGGAGAGCCCGTACATCATTTTTGCTTTTTTAAGTTCTGTACAGAATCGCTGAACACAAAAAATTTGCTATATTTTCTATCAGAAAGAAGACTTTAGCCCATATGCAATACAGATTGGGGATAAATGGAGTTGTTTTAACTAAAAATAGAAAGAGCAATTTTTCACTCTTGTGGATCACTACTCTTGTACAACTACAGACAAAAGGAATCTGGGCTTAACTCAATCATGTAAAATCAGATATATTATCATTGGTTCACATGTTGATGTAGATTTTGCCAAATCCATCAAGATTTCCTAAATTTCTTGTAGCAGCTTTACACAATGCCTATAATAGATACAAACACTGTTTCTAAATAACATTTACGTCTCCTACAAGCTTGACAATTATCTTTATCACACTGTTCAATAAAAACTTATCATAAGTCACAGGCTTTATCATCAGAGACCTTTCTTATAGAACAAACACAAAATAGTTTTTAAATAAAAACCAAAAACCAGCATAATGCATTTCAGATCTAATATGACATTTGTTTAGTAAGTCTCTGTAGAATTCTATTGTATTTTTAGATTAAAAGTAAAAAAATCAGAATAAAAACGGCATGGAATAGCATTGCACTGTTGACATTTATAATACAAACAATATAAGAAGGTTGCCAATTCAATTAACAGACCAATATTTACACATGTAAAATATAATACAGTGTATTTACAGATATAAAAATGAAAATGAAATGTATGGAGTAATACATCCTACTTTTCTGCACCATGTGGGCTAATGAAGATGGTCAATGTTGCTCCTTTTCGATTTCCAAATGTTGAGGGATCTTCAACGTGCAAAGCGTGTAGCACATATGGCCCCGGTTTATGGTCCCATCCGAACGACTAGACGCTTTTTCCATGTCAGCCCCTCTTACCTGCATCACTGACAGGGAAACTGGGTTGAAAAATCCGAAGGTATTATCTCGACCTATGCTGGACTTTCAGGTTAGCGAGCAAGCGTCTATCTCACTTAGCCACAACGGCTTCCTACAGATATAGGTAAGTCATTCCATGCTTATTTAGAAACTGTTACAGGTGTTAGAACTGGACAGATAGTAACATAGAAATTTGGCCCTTTGGGTCTTGCCTCAGATCACCTCTAATGTTTGGTCCTCCCCTCAGGCATTTTCTAGGGACCCTTTTGAATTTAAGTATTTCCAACATCAGATCTAAAACAGCTTCTTTTAGTTGCCCAGGGGAATAAATGAAATGTAATAATGCTTATCATGAATTTAATTTACATGTGTCTTAAAGATTTGATATAACCACAAGTTATCATATTGACTTAAATTAACTAGAACAATACCTTAGAGTAACATAACTTGATTAGTACACATGGAGGTAAATACTTGACCAGCGGTCATTTTTGATAAACTAAAATAAACATAGCTCATGGAAACCACATGAGACTTGCCAATGTCAGAGGTCAATAATTTGGAGGTTAAAAGCGACTTGTGTTTAATGTTAAATGCCTTATATTATGATAAAAATTTGATAGTAGACTCAAGTTGTAAATATCAGCCTGGAACTGTAGTTATTATATCTTGAGGTAATATTGGAGAGTTGTCTGTCTTTTATAATATTATAATAATCATCAATTAACTATAACTTTTACTATAATACAAGTACTCAATACTGAATTATAAAGTTCAATACTGAATCATTAAGCTCAATACTGAAACATAAAGCTCAATACTGAAACATAAAGCTCCATACTGAAACATAAAGTTCAATACTGAATCATAAAACTCAATACTGAATAATGAAGCTCAATACTGAATAATTAAGCTCAATACTGAATAATAATAATGCTCAATACTGAATTATAAAGCTCAATACTGAATCATAAAGCTCAATACTGAATCATAAAACTCAATACTGAATCATTAAGCTCAATACTGAAGAATCATAATGCTCAATTCTGAATTATAAAGTTCAATACTGAATTATAAAGCTCAATACTGAATCATAAAACTCAATACTGAATCATTAAGCTCAATACTGAAGAATCATAATGCTCAATACTGAATTATAAAGTTCAATACTGAATTATAAAGCTCAGTACTGAATTATAAAGCTCAATACTGAATTATAAAGCTCAATACTGAATTATAAAGCTCAATACTGAATCATAAAGCTCAATCATAATACAAATTGAAATTTTTGGCCAAATGAATTTTTGTTCATCAGTGGACTTACCTGATAACTATACAACAGAATCCCAGTTATAACTAAGTCATTTTAAATAATCATGGTTAGAAGTGTTTTTTCCATAATTATTTAGTTTAATGGATAGATCATGTCCAACTGATGAATATATACTCTTATTGACCAAGTTTGATGTCCATTCTAAGAAGTAGTATTACTTTAAAGGAATATGGTAATCTAATTTTTCTCTGAACACCACATTGTCTACAACCCCCTACTTCCAATCAAAATAGTAACATAAGGACCCTATACATTTCTAACATTCAAATTATCACATGTAAAAAGTGTAGAATTAAAGGACTGTATCCCTTTTAATGAGGGTACAAGTTGGGAAAGACTAGTATGATATCAAGTAATAGGTTATATATCCTATAAGATGTCTGTTGTACTATCAGACAAACACATGTTCCTTTACCATTCTAACATCAAACACGCTTTCTGTTTCTTCATTCATTCATTCATAGCTACACACGTGAGGACAGAAACACACTTACTAGAAATCAAGAGAACTTCAATAGATAGTGAACAAAATGTAGTGACATGATCTGAACATATGTACAAAGTTGTGTAAACACTTTTTCTGGATATTCTGAACAAAACTTTTTTGTTGGATATGAAGATGTGAACAAAAGATTTTTGTGTGAACCTTTACGTATTTTAAAATTTAAAACTTTTTAGTGTTTTACAATTAAAAATGTGTTTTAATCAAAGAATATAGACAAAATTTCTCATATGAATATACAGTTGTGAATTGTGAACTCTCTAAATGCTACAAAACAAATTTTATGGAATATCTTCTCTCGGAATATTTTTAGTGTTTCATGTGCAGATCAGATTTAGAAAACAGAAAAATTTAATTCTGCTGATACTAAAATACATCTGGGATACAAAATAGCAGTAACTTTACTTATTAAAATACAAGTAGTATTAAAATACAAGTAGTATTAAAATACAAGTAGTATTAAAATACAAGTAGTATTAAAATACAAATATTAAAACGTTTATTATCCAATGGAACTATTTTGAGATAGTGAATCAAATAGATCATCATGCATTACCTGTTTATTCTATTCTGTTATATTTCTGGATGTTTCCAACTAAGTCAACAATTCAGTTTTTCAAAGCCTCAAAGAGGTGACATAAGAAATCAAGACTACAAAAAATCGAACTTCATAGACAAGTTTCAGGATAAAAAATCACCTAGTGCCAAAGAAAATATTTTGGGAGAAAATGCAGTTGTCAGCCCTCCTCCAATAGGTACTGGACTTTATGCCACAGTTCAACAGTTACAGAAACAAGTCCAAACTTTACAACAATCTTACAATAAAGAAAGGTGAGTGAAGATGTTCTTTCATTATAAATTAGAAATAAAATAAAATTGTTTTGCAAACTAAATGAAAGAGACAAGAGTCATGTTGTTTCCAGATTACTTTGTGGCGTGCATCATTTTGAAAAAAAACCTGGAATTACTTTTGCTAGTGAAATACCTAACACAATAAATACTGTAGTAGAGATTAATAAGGATGCAGTATATGATACTAGAATATGTAACCAATATAAACAAATTTCAGTTTTTTTTATCTAAAAATTTACTTACATTTGTCATAGCAATTAAACTTAATTTACAATTTAAAAAAAAAAAGTATATTAACCAAGTAGTACCGGTATAACAAGTTCGATATTTTTAATATCATTTTAATATTTTCATATTTGATATTTGATATATAAAATTTGTGGCTACGATATTTTAAAGGGCCAGAAGCGCCATTTTCAGGGGTTGATTTGGGTCTTGAAAATATGTAAATAGCCTTCAGAAGTACTAGAAATGTACGAAAATCGTATAATTCTTTCAAATATCTCAAACTAGGAATTTAACATTCTATTTCTATATATGTCTTTTCTATATATCACACGGTATCTTAAATTGACGAATCGTCATTTCAACTTTCAAACGCAGATAATTCTGGACACACATGGATTTGGAGGCTTAAATTTCGACCGTGAGCTGTGAAAACTATTCATGACTGACTTAGCTAAAAAAAAATTCCTGTCCGAGACTAAATTATGATTGTTAAAAAAAAATGGCTTGTCCCTTTAATACTGATATGTAATTTTCAGATCTAAAATTAGAAGACTAGAAAGAAGAGTAAAAGAGTGTAAAGATGGAGTAACACTGGCCAAATCAGACATTGTTCAAATCAAACAAAATGTGCATGAAATTTCCAGTGGCTATTCTAATATACAAGAACTAGTCCAAGAAGTTCAGACACAAAATTCAGGACTGGATTACCAAATGAAACAAACTAAAAAGGATTTCTTAACACTCAATATACTGACTACCTCAAATGCTGACTCTTTGTCCAACTTATGGAACAATATTACTGACAAAAACTCTGATATCAAATCTGATGAAATCAAAAGTGAAATAGAATCTGTGGTCAAGAAGCAGACGCATTTGTCTGAACAGGTGACCAAAATACAAAATAATTTAAAAGATATATTTGTAGTTTCTCAGAACAATACCAAAACCACTTATAAAGTCACTTTAACAAATGGAAGCAAAGTTCCCAGCAATATTTGGGAAGAAATAGACTTGTGGGGAAGTGGGTCTGGTGACATAGAGAAAGAATTCATCATTATTGGTGAGAATGGTGATGCCTCTGACCAGTTTGATATCAGTGGAGAATCAGAATTGCCAGAGATCTTTGAGGAATATGAAGATCTTTTGCAACCAACTAAGGATAAAAAATCTGTTAAGGACTTACAATCCAATATATCGAATTTGGAAGAAAATTTTCAAAACCTTACAGACCATATGAATACTATTGCGTCTGAGTACTCTAGAGTGATACTAAAATTAGAAAATCGTTTGGAAGATGAGCGAGTGAAGTCAGACGTCCTGGCTGAAGATCATGATGAAGCCCTAGCTGAACTTCAAGGGCAATACAACAACATGGTAAACAAGGTCAATATTTTGGATCAAAAAGTCCAATCAATACAATTAGGTGACTTCATGAAAAGTTTGCAAGAATCTTTGATCAATTTTACTCAAAATGTGATCACACTGGAACAATGGAAGACAGCTAGTACTCAGATGATTAATTCTACACAGTACAACCAGAAACAGATCATGGAGCTGAAGAAAGTAATAGTGAACAATACAAACAAAGTGAATGAAGTCGACTGGATTCTGACAGACAACCAGAATAAAAACGACCAGCAGTACCGAGTTCTTCAGATGCACATCATTCACCTTAATAACAGTCTTCAGGATCTTCGTGAACATGTGACGTATCTGGGCACCATCCAACTTCCATCCAGACGACATCCCAACGCTCAAAGAAATCCTCAGTATCTGCCTCCTGCTACTGACATTTTGAGCAGACTTGAAGATTTAGGATTACAGATCACATACAATGAAAATCGAATTGCTAACATCGAAAGTCGCGTACTGAACAAAAGTTTGTTTGAGTGCCAAAAAGCCAACACTGATTTGTTCCAAGATGCCAAACTGCTACAGCTGAATAATGAGCTTGATGTGACGCGTTCAACAGTGTCCATTCTTAAAGAAACCTTGAAGAGATTGGACCGAGCTATCTACAGGGTGTATAACTACGCCAAAAATAGTTCTGATGTGATCAATAAAGTTCAGTCTAAATTCTTTTCTTGGGATTCCTATATTCCGATCATTCAATTACTACGCCAGGAAGTCAACAATATACTTTATACCCTACCAATAGGTAAGTTAATCTTTATATATCATATCTTACCATACACTATAGACCCATCTATCTGTGATAGCTATTTTGAAATTGTCGACTGGTGTAGAGACAAAAAAAGTAGGCGTTGTTTTATGATTTTTCCGCACCTCCATAGGTGCAGGGGTTTTAAACCTATTTATTAAAATTGGACTTGCCAAAAGAATTGTATGATTGAAGGTTGAATATTTCACACCATTTTGAAATTATTGAATGTTAAGCAGTCAGTGAGTGGAGGTGATCACTTTTAATTCTAGGCTAAAAAATTGTATTGGGGACACTGATAGCATCAATTTGTACCATTCTAATTTCAATCAGATCGGTGTGATTCTAGTAATTACACTAAAACTAATTATTAGATGACGTCACTAATCACAAAATATACTTTATCACAATCAGTGACATTATCAAATAAATAATAGTATAAGTGGAATTTCAGGAACCACAGATGTCTGATTGAAAATTGGAATGGTGCAATTTGATACTATCATCAGTGTCCTGATATATAAAAAATATAGAAAACCTCTTTACAATTCCTTACAAGCTAGAGAATGGTTCAGATAGAGACTTCAAACTGTTATGTATGTATTTAATCAGAAAGTGACTTCCATGTTGATATTTTGAGTTTCATTTTATTAACTATCCAAATCTATCTTTCAGATTGTGATGCTTATTATCAAAGAGGCCACAGAAAATCAGGAATTTACATCATCTTTCCACCCAATGCCTTACAATCTTTTAAAATACCATGTGTTATGGATAATGAAGGAGGGTGGACTATCATTCAGCACCGATTTAACGGCAAAACCAAATTTGAAAGAAGTTGGTCAGACTATGCTTTAGGGTTTGGAAGTCCTACAGGAGAATTCTGGATTGGAAACGAATTTTTACATTTATTGACATTCAATTCCAATTATTCGCTTCAAATTGAAATGGTGGACATATTTGATGGAGTTTGGTTAGTGAATTATGAATTGTTTAAAGTTGCCAACAAGGAAGACAAATATCGCTTGACAGTGGAAGGATATTCTGGCAATGCTACTGATGGTATGGCCTATTCAAATGGCATGGCATTTAGTACCCAGGATACAGACAATGATTTGAGTAGTACCCATTGTGCTTTATATTATACAGCAGGTTGGTGGTATAGACATTGTCAGTTTTCAAATTTAAATGGTCGCTATGATGTGGGTGTTGTTTGGTTTAACAAAGAATGGCAAGATTGGATTCAGTTGAAATCCACCACAATGAAAATCAGACCTCAAAATATATCTCAGAATAGTACGACTTCTTGATCATTAATTTTGTTAAACAACCATATCATTCAGGATTATTAAAGGGGCATTCCGTTTTTTTTTTAGGTTAAATTTTTTTTTGCTTAAATTTGTCAAAACTCTACACCAAAATCTAGAAAAATGTGTATCTGAAAGTTTTAACTAAAAAAATCCAGCTGTTAATTTTTAAACGACAAAACTTTTTAAAACATTTACACAAGATGTTTTTGATGATAAAAATTTGCATTCTGTCCCTTTAAATCAGTCACTGTTGAATTCTAACAAAAAGTGACAGAAAACAGATTTCAAGAAAAAGGTCCTTTTTATCTTTTACAATTTTCATAGCACTTGTTTTCTGATATACCACAAACAAACCACAGATAAGAAAATGATTAACCTTTATCCAAAACAATAAATTTTGTAAGAATGTAACCTGGTGTTGTGTGGTCTGATAAATGTTAGTTTTTACAAAAGTGGAACAGAAACCAAATGTCAACTCTACCCTGTGTGACAGGAGACAGAAATGAATTTACCTTACAAAGTCTGATACTAATAGATGAAAACTGACATCAGAAAGAAGATAAAGGTCATAACCCTATATAGCAGACATTTGAACCAAATATTTGGAAGTTTATCCCTTCATATCCCATAATTTTTGGTACTGTCTTAAAGCTACACTACCTCTTAGGATGACCAAACAAATTTAATTTTTAAACTTGGCCAAAATGAGTCCTTGTTCATCAGTGGACTTACCTGGTGTCATAACTATACAAGCCATAAAACTAAGTAATAATTCATTAAACTAAGTAATTTTGAAACATGCTTTGAAGCGTGTATTAATAATTATTTAGTTTAATGGATATATCATATTATAGATAGATTCTATTCTTTAGTCATGGCACCTGGGCCAACTGATGAATATATACACTTATTGAACAAGTTTGAGACTTTAAATTTTATGTCCATTCTAAGAGGTAGTATCCCTTTAAGAAACAAGAAACAGTTGTAAGATAAGAGTAAAATCTGAAACATTACTTACCATAAAAGGAACAGCATCAAAATATATAGCTAGGAACCAATTTAACGTCACAGTCGATATTTCGATGTCAATAGCATCTAAATGTTTAGATGTTGTAGAGAGTTTCTCTGCTACTATATCTTTTAAGACTTGTTGATCAGCCTGGGCTCCCACTAAATTATGATCAAAATAATTGCTAGTGAAATATCTCTCTGTAACAGCTACCAATGTCCTGAAATATCAAATTTTACATATACAGGTACATGTCGAATATGATTATACTTCTATAAAATACAGAGTTAAAAGATCAATGGCCAATGTAAGGCAAGCCTTTAGTTAAAGTAACAAAGATGGATACAGATTGATGAATCATAGTAACAATTGTTTCCATAATAAGAAAAACAAAACGAATTCCAGCCATTTCTTGGAACTTACCAAAATGCATCATGAGCATCCATAAATAGGAGTGCCATGCCAACAATAAAGTTCATTCCCTGGCAATAGCCAATATCAGGACTGTGTATACAGAAGGCCAGCAGAACATCTTGTAAATCCATAATCTAAATACAAGAACAAACAATTAGAATCAGTAGAACAAAAAATGCCACCCAAATTACTATATAATCTATAGAAGGAAATCTTCTGAAAGGTCAAATGTAAAGAACTTATTTCAAGAGATACTTGATAAAAAAAAAAACTCTTTTGAGATAAAAAATGTAATATAACAATCTTACCCCTCTTGAGCCTGAAGTAGCAAATTTAACATTACTAGGCATAGTTCTCATTAAATCTAATGATATCTGTTTCCTGTATCTTGCTGCCAACTAAAATACCAATAATTCACAATAAAATTTCTTAGTTTCATATAATTTTTAAGGTTCATAATATTTCTTAGTTTCACAGAATTTTTAAGGTTCATAATATTTCTAAGGTTCATAATATTTCTTTCTTAATTTCACAATATTTCTTAGTTTCATAGAATTTTCAAAGTTCATAATACTTTAAAGTTTCATAATATTTCTTTCTTAGTTTCATAATATTTCTTAGTTTCACAGAATTTTTAAAGTTCATAATATTTTTAAGGTTCATAATATTTCTAAGGTTCAGAACATTTCTTAATTTCATAGAATTTTTAAGGTTCATAATATTTCTTATTTTCAAATTATTTCTTAGTTTCATAGAATTTTAAAGTTCATAATATTTCTAAGGTTCATAATATTTCTTTCTTAGTTTCACAATATTTGTTTGTTTCACAATATTTCTTAGTTTCATAGAATTTTCAAAGTTCATAATACTTTAAAGGTTCATAATATTTCTTTCTTAGTTTCATAATATTTCTTAGTTTCATAGAATTTTTAAGTTTCATAATATTTCTTTCTTAGTTTCATAATATTTCTTAGTTTCACAGAATTTTTAAAGTTTATAATATTTTTAAGGTTCATAATATTTCTAAGGTTCAGAACATTTCTTAATTTCATAGAATTTTTAAGGTTCATAATTTTTTTAAGGTTCATAATATTTCTAAGGTTCATAATATTTCTTTCTTAGTTTCACAAAATATCTTATTTTCATATTATTTCTTAGTTTCATAATATTTCTTAGTTTCATAGAATTTTGAAGTTCATAATATTTCTAAGGTTCATAATATTTTATTAGTTTCATGATATTTCTTAATTTCATAATATTTCTCTTAGTATCATAATATTTCTCTTAGTTTCATTTCTCTTAGTTTTATAATATTTCTCTTAATTTCATAATATTTCTCTTAGTTTCATATATTTCTTAGTTTCACATTATATCTTAGTTTCCTTCTCTGCCATTTTGAATTCTGTCTGCACCTACTGTTTTTTCGGCACACATGGAACTTTGTTCCAACTTGTTTTATTGCTATGAATTCTGAATATGCAGAACGCACGTATCATATGAGCCCCTTTCAAACAGGAACCTTTTACAATATATATATTATCAGTATGTATCAACTTTAGAAATTTAATCAAAGACAAAATAGAAAGCAGTAAGATAACTTACAGGTGAATCTGGCAACATGTTACATAAGTTTCTATAATAATGTGGTCCTTTCTCTGTAATAATATCCTGTACTCTACTGTACACTAACTGTCTCCAGATCTGTTTTCTATATTGATCTGGTATACCTCCTCTTACTAGCTGTTTTAATGTTGGTTTCTACAATAATTATTCATTTAAATATAATTCATATCTTATAGATTATATTAATTATCAAGTCTTTATTCAACTTCTTCATGTTGTTCCCTACAACTTTTCAATATAATAAATGACTGATAAGCCAAAACCTTCATTATGTGACCAGCGACCATGTATTATCACTCCAGATCATATCTGTATAAAACCATGAAACTCTATGGTTACATTGACCAGTTAGTTTCAGTTATAAGGTTTGTAAAAATTCAAGATGGTAGCTGATCGCAATTCTTTCCCTTAAAGAAAGAAAATAAAAAGAAAGACCCACTCACATCTTTTAAGATGCCTTTATTGTTCTGTCCAATGTACATGATCCATCTTTTCTGATGTTCTTCATAAGAACCAGCTTGGGTGATAAAATGCTGGCTCAACTCTTGACATAAATAATGTAAGAGCAACCCATTGTCTTCAAAACTATGTTTAAAACCATAGGCATCTACATGTACTTCTTTATTTGCTAATCTACAATAGAGAGAGTTATTGATAAATTTGCTAATTCTTTATTTTGAAATGGTTACAGATAGAGAGACCACAGTATTTGTGGACAGACTTTTGTTTTAAAATAAAAGATAAGACTATCTCCTGTCTCCATAAACTTTCTAGGTTACAATTAGAATATTTTATTTTTACCTAAAATTACCTGGACTTCGATACAATTTTCTAAGCTAGTAAATATATCGTTAATTTATACTAGTTACTTCCCTTGATACACTTTCCATACATCAAGAAAAAAAATTCCAAAGTTGATTATCTTGCTATAACTTCTATCAAATCAACTAGTATCTGGGTTTTACAGATACAACTTACAGGTGCAACTTACAGGTACAACTTACAGGTACAACTTGCACTGTACAACTTACAGTTACAACTTGCACTGTACAACTTACACTTTACAGGTACAATTTACAGGTTCATCAATAGGTTCAGCCTACAAGTACAACTTACACTTTATAGGTACAACTTACAACTTACAGGTACAACTTACAGGACAACTTACAGGTACAACTTACAGGTACAACATACAACTTACCTCTCATATGTTGGTAAACTAGGGTTCATTTTTCTTGCATCTTCTAATAATTGTAAGATTCTTTTCTTGTGCTACAAAATATGCAAAAAGTTATAATACTAGACAGAAAAATACTTAGTGCCTTTGAAAATGGACAACTCTGAATTTTCCCTACAGGAAATTTTGTCAAAACAGCTACTTTTGTTTTTTTTTCAACTGTTGAGGAAAATTAACCATGCACAGCCTGTAGCACACAGGGCCTCAGTTTATTGTCCCATCCGAAGGACTAGATGCTTTTTCCATGTCAGCCCCTTTTACCTGCATCACTGACAGGGGGAAACTGGGTTGGAAAAGCTATCTAACATGGAGAGTGAAAGCATTACTTACCCTATTACCACCAAACAGAATGAGTTCAGCATCATCCATACTATCAGTACCAGAGAAACGAATACTAGACTGTATTAAAGATACATAATCAAACTTCCACTTCTCTATTTCTCCTTCTAGAGCTAACAAGTGACTGAAAATACATTGTCAACATATATATCATTTATATCACTATTAATGGAATACTACCTCTTAGAATGGACATAAACTTTAAAATCTCAAACTTGGTCAATAAGAGTATATATTCAACAGTTGGACTTACCAGGTGTCCTGACTTAAGAATAGAATCTCTATATAAGATGATATATCTAATAAACTAAATAATTATTAGTTGTGTTTCTAAACATGTTTCAAAATTACTTAGTTTAATGAATTATTACTTAGTTTAATGAATTATTACTTAGTTTTATGAATTATTACTTAGTTTAATGAATTATTACTTAGTTTAATGAATTATTACTTAGTTTAATGAATTATTACTTAGTTTAATGAATTATTACTTAGTTGAATGAATTATTACTTAGTTGAATGAATTATTACTTAGTTTAATGAATTATTACTTAGTTGAATGAATTATTACTTAGTTTAATGAATTATTACTAAGTTGAATGAATTATTACTTAGTTGAATGAATTATTACTTAGTTAAATGAATTATTACTTAGTTTAATGAATGAATTATTACTTAGTTTAATGAATGAATTATACTTAGTTTAATGAATTATTACTTGGTTTTATGGATTTGGTCATCTCAAGAGGTAATATTCCTATAACAAACATAGTTGTTTCATCATAACTACACAATACATTCTACATGAATGTCTGATCTTGATAGGGCTAGCGAAGACAAGCAATGTCATTTTGTGTGAAATTAGGAGAATTTGTAAGGACAGCCACAGTAGCCTACTCATTGTTTGATTTCCTACTATGATAACTAGCATATTACTGACTAAACCACTGTTTCCAAAACAGCTAACCTGATGATGGTATTTGGTTCAGTTTTTGTCCAAAAAAAATTGTTTCATTAGCATTTATAGAAGGCTATTTTAGTCTTGTACTTACCAGTCTTGATCAGTGAATTTGTTGGCATCGTCTCCCCTTAATTTGGCCAGACGTCGAACCTCTTCATTCAGAAATCTATTCTGATTCTGTAATACCCGTACTCTTTCATGCAACTCATTGGATGCCACGGTCCTGAAACAAATCAAATCTAGACTTATAAAATGGAAACAGACATTTTGTTTTAACTATTTAACAACAATAGTCAACAAATGAGAAGATCAAATATTCATACGTGCATGTGAAAGATGAAAAAATGATAAAAAAGTTAAAACAAGGTAGACAAAAGGGGGTAAGACCAGGTAAAGAGTTCCAACACTAATAAAAATAAGGTATAACTTACTCAAATATACCAGAAGTTAACTCTTATAGCTGTATAAGTCAAATTTTGGTTTTCTTGATCAAAATCCTTTTGATAATACCCACCCCCCCCCCTCCAAAATTGTGTCAATCCCATCCTAGAGACCTTATTTCAACTGACAGCCTGTCTTGAGTTCCCATGCCCTCCTCCAGATACCTTGTTTCAACTTTCAACTTACTTGACCCGTCTTTTGCTATCATAAGGTTGATCATTTGGTGATATTTTACACAGTTTATCATCCAAATCACTGATAATTTCATCTTTTTGTTTCAAAATTTCATTATAACAAGTCTGTTTGTTCATCACTCTGGCTAATTCACATTTTGTTGCTCTGAAATATACACATGTATACCAATCAATACCTAGTACCATTTTGGATTAACTCTTTGGTGCGATCGGGTTCCAATCTCTTTCATTTCAACATCTTATGACCTTTCAGGGCTGAAGCTGACTAAGTTAGGCCCATGCAATTTTAATTTTTATTTCATTGTTTATATTACATTATTGTTATGTTATGTCATTTACATACACTCAATGTTTTATAAAGAATACAGCTCTGCTGATGTTATCATCATAATTTGTATATATACCATGTATGATATAGAAGAAATAAATATTGTTTAAACCAAGTTAACTTTTGAATTCATCGATGACATAAAAACTAAAAAATGCGAATAAGTTCTACTTGTCCAACGTCAGTAGGGACGCACGCTGAAATTAGGTCAGTTGTCTGAAGATCGCATAGAGTGAAACTCTGAGTAACAACATGGTTTTTTAGCTTCTGTTTGAAAATTTCCAAAAACTTAAATGTATATAGTCTATTCAAACTTACTTCCAAATAGACTTAAGCACTGTATAAGATAATAATAACCACATTTTTAGAGATTTTTATGTTCATAATACTTAATATTCTAAATTGAGTCCTCTCTGAATCTGATTTAAAATCGAAGTTTTCACATAGTTGAATTGGTGTAACTTTTAACCATCATAATCATTCAAATCCAAGATCCTTTTCTCTTCAGTATTACTACTTATTAAGTTTCAATAAAAAATTTCAAAGACTATGGTAAAAACTTCAGGTTAAAACCACCAAATATAATATTTACTCTCAACATGGACTGATCACTGTCAAAGCAGTCTGGTAATTTGATTGTTTACAGAAAACACCTTAATTAATGGACCAAGCAAAAATAGGTGCTAGGATCAACTAGGCCATTGTTTAACCTTTACCTCATGATTGAAGTCAAACACTGCAATCCAATCAAGAGATGATTTAAAAGTAATTAAGTATGAAATTATTTAATAAAAGTGTCTTGTACTGATAAACTAGATTATCACACAAGCTTGTAGATAAATTTTTAAATCCTTAAAGAGGCAGTATGCAATTTTCATAATCAAATATCATACTTGAAAATATTTCTAAAGTATGTTATTTATATCTATGTATCTTCTTGATCAAACTGAATTTATTATAAAAGGGTTAATTAAAAACGGAGAGTACTTATTGTTAATTTAAGCAGTTTGCACTAGTTTTTAGTGTTTGGCTTTATAAAGGCTCGATATTTTTATTTGAAAACTTTAGAATACATAGGAGACATATTTCTCTTTATGTCTTATAATAAATATATTGTTAATAAAAAAAAAAATTTCTCTACAATCAGACGTTTATTTTGCTTAAATCCATGCAGTAGTTTTTTAACGGCTTGCAAAAAGTGTAACAAACTTTAAGTCTACATAAACATGGATTTTTTTAGTTAAAACTTCATGTATAAAAATATATAAAATTGATTGACCCGAATCATGAATATATATTGTTTAAATAAAGAAAAAAAATCTCCTATCAGCTGTCAGACATATTGATTTTCAAAGCTTTTCAGAAAAATTCTTTAAAAACTTGGCTGAATCTTTCAGCTATGACTTATGTTATGAAAATGTTTAATTTGTAATAATAAAGAATGTATATATTTGATATTAAATATAATGAAAGGATATCTAATATGTAATAAACTTGTTGAATATCAAATAACTTAGATGTAAGAAAAAAGTTGAATTTAAAATTGAATTGAAATGAATTTAGAAAATGAAATGAAATGAAGTTATACGTCCTACTTTTCTGCACCATGTGGGATAACGAAGACGAGCAGGT